CAGTCTATGACTTAAAAAATTAATATTTGGTTGTATGACAAGGGGCAAACTATTTCTCTATGCTGATATTCAGCATACCTAAAATGGAATAATAACTACATCACAGAATTTCTCTTAAGATGTGTGATATCTTAAGATGTGTAACACCCTTACCACGTACTTAGAACACAGTAAACACTCAAAATGGCTCCCACTACATTGTTGTTGTTATTATTATTACCATTATTAGTTTCAAGAAGAATTTTTAAAAGGTTTTGAGCAATAGTAGCATCAAAGAAATACATAATGGCCCAAGGCTATGACTTTGAAGAGACCGGCATTCACATGGAGCAAAGGTCTTCTCGGTGGTCAAGCTATATGCCTTCTAACCTTTGTTGATAAGCAAACATAGCACATATTTACTTGTAGGCTTACTCTACTATTGTTCTGGAACTTACTAGTTCCAGTGAGACTAGAAAATGACAGAGAACAAGCCCTGCTTAAGCTTAGAATGAAAGTAAACGCAGTCTTCCTTTTGGGTTCACTACCACCTTCATGATCCCTGAACTTTCTGCAGTCATGTCCGGGTCCCTGTGTCTTTGCAGTGCCTGGTCCACACATTTATACCTCAGACAATTAGCATCTTGTCTTTGAGCTCAATAGTCTTCCAGCTCCTTAGTTAGTGAACTTGACACTCCCTGTCAAGTTTCTCTTACATCAAATTTTTGTTGATTTATATTTCTTTTGAAAAACTGCCTTTTTTGGATATCAGGCTATCACCTATCCCAGTCATGCCCAGAGTGACATGAGAACCCAGGTTTTGTAAATATATATCTATATTTATATATCTATATATCTATGTGTACCTTTCACCTATCAAACTTTAGATATGCTGATTGTACTTATTTCCAATTAATCCTTAGAATGCCTAGATCATCCAAGACTCAACCTGACCCTACAGGTATTTCTGGACTCTTAGCTATGGTTTTTCAATGTTTAGTTTATGTTGCCTCCACCTAAGCCCTAATTATGACAGTCAAATATACTTACATTCTGCTGTGTTTTTCATAATTCATGTTATTTGTAGTCATTTTGTATTTTTAAGCTTAATTATTAAAACCATAAAATTGTCCCAGATATTTAAAAAATTCACCTGGCAAGTAGAGCTACTCTGATTAGAGTACAAGTATTATCATTTGGGCATAATCTTAAATGTCACCAATGAGGTATATACTTTTTTATTATTGGGTAACACACAGGAATATGACTCAGAAAAAAACAAAACAAAATGTAAATCCCATTTTGGGAAAAAGAAAAAGAAGAAGGGAAAAAGAAAAGAAAAAAGAAGAATACTGAAGAAAAGAGGCAAAGGAAGTAAAGAGAGGAGAAGGTGTTAAGAAAAGACGACAGAAGGAAGATTGAGAAGGAAGGAAAGATAAGAGAATGAAGAACAGGGCAGTGGGGATGACATAGCCAGAGGAAAAGGAGGAGGAACTTAAAATAGGGAAGGAAGGAGACAGAAGAAGAAGGAAAGAAAACAACATTGAAAGAATAAATAAATAATAGAAGAGAATAAAAAAGAAAGAAGACAATATATTAGTAGGGATCACTATTTTATAGCATGCTAGATAAATGTAATTCAGGAGTATGTGTGTGTATATATATGTAAGTATACATATATACATATGCAAATACATATTTTAAAATTCCTCCATATATTTATGTCTCTCTCTCCATACACAGACACACACACACACAAGCAAGTTGTTTTACAAATGTGTGTAATTTTCTATTTTTATACTTATACCATATATATATATAAAATATCTTCCATATGGGCTGATACACCATTTATACATATATATTTTCCATATACCTATACATCATCTGTATATTATTTCTATATATGTACCTTTTTCCTATGCATTCCATACATACTAAATACACTTATTTATATATGTCTATGTGTACATAGAATGGTATGGAGGAAGAAAGCCATGTAAGGAATGAAAATGGTTGTACAGAGGTTGTATTGAGAAACAGAGATGAAGAATGAATACTGACAATTGTAGAAGAAGACACATCATTAAAAGTATATTAAAAGCAGGGCAATAAAGCAAATGTGGTAACATTATAAAACACCTATACCATAATATTACATGTTTAATAGTTAATGTGGTGAATATTGTATAGTGTGGTAGTTTGGTTCAGGTGACTTTCATGGTGTTTTCAGCTCAGAAATATTTACATGCCCTTATTTTATTCATGCCATGTAATTTTCACATTTCCTAAAAAGTTGCATGCAAAATTACTCTATGAATTCCATGTAGTACCAATAGCTATACAAATGAATATAGCATGCAACATGGTTTATTATTATTATTATTATTTGAGACGGAGTCTTGCTCTGTCACCCAGGCTGGAGTGCAATGGTGCAATCTCTGCTCACCGCAACCTCTGCCTCCCAGGTTCCAGCGATTCTCCTGCCTCAGCCTCCCAAGTAGCTGGGATTACAGGCGTGTGCCACCATGCAAGGCTAACTGTTGTAGTTTTGG